GCTTCGGGGAACCGAACGATCCAGGATCACGCGAAATCGTCAACAATCTCATCCAGCTAACTCACTTAGCGCGGTACGAAGAACAGGCCCCTGGGCTGATTTTGATGTCATTGCGCCACAATCTTCGCGCACCTCTCTAAGTAGTTTTCCAGGAAAAAACAACTTACCCACATTAACAATTAATATTTCCCTATATTTTTTTAAAAATAAAAACTCAGCAAATTACTAAACTGTAAAGAAAAGGACGAGCACATAAGAAGGAGAAGCAGAAGATCATTGAATGACAGAACTAAACCCTGATCTTAAGATTTGTTATTTTGTTGTTGCATCCTGTCAGATGGCTTAACAGTGACAGTGTTGATATTAATAACTGCAGGCTCCTTGCATGAGTGCTCACACGCGACATACTCCCCCCACATATAAATAACATGTGCATTTTATCAAACACACACCAAGTCCAACCCCCTCCTTCCTCCTCTTCTCACTCACACGTGAAAGACACACCCACTCTGAACACACCCTGTGCCACTGACCCCAAGCTCTGCATCCAACACGTTCTACCACATTTTCTATCACGTTGCTGTCAAGTGCTGAGGCTTGATAGGTGGCAGTACCCACTCCCACCCAGCACAAACACAAGATTACCAGAGCAGTGTCAGAGCAGATTATTTAATAATGTAATTATCTTGATAATTGTGTAACTCTGTAAATACAGTATCCTGTTTGAACGGGCCTAAAAGCACTATGTTAAAATGCATTAGATTCTATAATGTGTTTCATTGATTAGAACTAGGAAAAGTTAAATAAATGCATCCACAGACATTTAAGCAACTACCTACAAACCATTTTTTAACCTCAAGAACCAGCATCCTTGAAATATTTTGCAATATTTTATCAGCCTGAAACACAATGGCCCTGCTTACCTCATCGCACACTTTTGGTTAGGAACCGCTGATACAATAAAGAATAATGCTGGTTGATTTTAGTGCTGCCCAGCTTCAGCTGAAACTGTTATCAATATGCTGACTGCTTTGAATAATTTTAGTTGCCACTATATGAGCTCAGCTTGTGCCACATTATCTGGAGGGGGACCTGCTGCTGCTTCACTCTGGCTGTTGTGCTGGGTAAATTTAATAGGTACAGGGTCACATCTGACATCTATCGGTCTCCTACAGCTGCTCTTAGCTAAAACATTCTTGACCTGTTAGTTCTACTCTGTGTCTGTTTCTGTGGGTGTATTACTTAAGAGTGGACTTCCCTATTTTTCCCCTTTTTTCTTTTTTTAAAAACCTGAGTTTTACTGTCTTGAGGAAACAGAAATCGGAATACATCAGCTGTGCTGTGAAGCCAGACTGACTCCATTATTTTTAAGTTGTGAAAGTAGAATCAGAGGACCACCATTCCCCATTTTTTGGAATTAAAGTTTATCCACCCACTGGATTTATTTAGGCAATTTAATCATGGCACCAACAAGAAAAAAAATATTCAAACCAAAAACATTTCATTTCTTGAAGAAAAAAAAAAAGAGGCCCCTCCTGCTACCAGGGTCCTGGATAACATGTCTTGCCTTCTCCCTGATTAGTAATGCGGCAAAATCTTTAAAATCTGAAGGCAAGACCAACTTCATCAGTGGTACAGCAAGTAAAAAGGAAATACAACACTATTCTCACCATGTAGCTTCTTAAATTCTGAGTAGATTTGGAGCCTCACAATTTTGCCTCACTCAAGCTGCTCAAACACTTTTTATCCTGAGATTACTGTTAGTGCTGGTGCTGATTACCTGTTATTCTTGAAATGTGAAATAAAATCTCATTAAACAATGATTACAAAGCAAGTGATGAACAACTGCGTCATTTGTCCTGTATGTTCATACTGTACATCCTGTATTGTTGTGAATAAACATGTAATAAGGCAATATCAGTGGCAACACCCATTACGATGGCTGTGCAGGAGCTTTGAGCTCAAGCTGAAATTCTGACCCTGATACCAAGGTTGGAAATCTTATTTAGCACAAAACTGAGAAATTCCCATGTTACAGCAACCAAAGCAGTAAACAAAGCAGCGAAGGTAGTGAAATGAGAGAATAGAGATGTGTTGAGTTGCAGTTGCAGTATATACTTCCTATATCTGTCCTTCTTACACTGTTAACCGTCTTATCAGGTTAGCCAATGGTATTCTTTGTCATACAGTATGGCAGTATGACTATACGGGGTTTCATCACTGATACATGCATGTACACAGATAAGAGAAAACTCCCAGGCCTCTGGTAGAAGATCAAGTTTACCAAGATAAGCAGACTTGTTAAATGTTGAGTTGGGCTCCAGGTTATGGTTTTCATATAACAGAATGCAGATTAACCACCTAATCTATCTTAAAACTTTGTCCTTGTTTGTGCACTATACTGTATTTTTTACCCTCTAAAAGTCCTGCAGTTAAAAAGAGTAAATAAAATAAAACAACCAACCCTGTTGAATGGAGCTCTGGGACACACTGGAACAAACTGTTATGCGATGCTGAGATTGATGTTTGGTTAATTATGGTGGGATAGACTCCCCTTGTTCTACAGTATTTTTGATGCATTGATGTCTCCTCCTCAACACCTTTTGAACTCTTGCAGCCCCGTAGAAATCCCACTTCCACTTTCACACCTCACTGTTGGGATGTTGTCTTCGCTGTAGTCTTCACCAGGTTAACGCCGAACATGCTAGATGACATCTAATGCTATCCATTGTTCGTCACACTTTCTAAGAAGTCACAGAAACTCTCCTTTGCCACATATCACTCATATATATCAACATATCACTCGTTTGTCGGTCTGTTTGTGCACACACAATCACTTTTTTCAGCTCATCATTTGGAGTCACAATGAAGACACAGAGATAACTAAGAAAAGTCTGTTGTGTCCGACTCATTTTTATAACCCTTCATGCAGTTAGGTTTATAGGAAACCACAGGTGTGGTATTTTAGTGACCACAGACATATTCACCTTTGTTGCACTGAGCTTCTTCTTTTTCGCTTTATTAGACAACCGTACTGGTTCACCAATTACCACAATAGTTCACGTTCTTTCCATACAATAAATACACTGTTGTGAGCATTGTTTGTGACTGTTTCAAGCCCTGCCTTCTATCTACAGGAGAAGTCAGGGCTGTATGATATCATCATATATACATAAAGCACATTTTACAAAGAAATATAAAAAAGGCCCTCCTCTGTGACAGTTGGGAGATATCTTGGCCAATCTGGTGCAGACAAAATAACCACTGGCAACACGAAGTGAGTGGATGATTTCTTAAAACAAACGACTGAAGCCAGAACCAATCAGGGAAAATATATTGAAATGATTGACTTATGATAGGGACTCTAAATACACTTAGAAACAATCAGAGCCTTCGATGTCTACCACCAGTCCACCTTAGATTATCAATACCAATAAAGGAGCCCTCTGCATATGCCACTTTTAAGGCGCATCTCAAACAATGGTTTATCACAAACGAAGCATGTGATCATTTTAAACTCTTTTATTGTGTGATATGTTCTTTGTTTTGTTACATGTCTTGATGTTTTTCTTTATCACATAGTTTTATGTGACCTGAACAGTCACAACTGAGGCAAGTTAGCAGTTTTGCTAAACTCTGGCTTGTTAGATCTTCTTGCACTGATGTTCATTAACATGCACTGTCCCTGTTAAATAAACACAGACCTGCCTAAAGCCAAAGTCCAGCACAGACACAGAGAGCAGTTTTAAAAAGATGCAAAACAGATCCTCTCTAGGTATAAAGTTACTCTGATGCATGGCTGCTCCTTTCTACATCTACCATCAGTCTCTGTTGTGAACTGATGGATTCCCTCGTAACTGCTGAAAGACTGTTAGCTAGCATTACACAGCATGCTATTCAGTGAGTGCATTTTTGTAAATGTACAGTAATTAGTGCATGTCATTATGTTTTGTTCTGCTGAGGAGAGTTAGCTGTGGATCACATTTTTTGTCTCATGTTGATTTTGTGTGTCAGGTTAACACAGGTCCCCTACCAATAACGACCATTATTAAAATGCATTGGACAGACTTGAAACGCTACATCTGGCATTTTGTCTTTTTACAAGTCTCACGTTATTGAATTTAAATCCTATTACCTGAACATTATCACTGATTAGAACACGCGGAAATTACAATCCCAAACAAGTGTAATAGTGGATGCAGACCCAACAAGCACCAGCCATGAACTGAGTGAGAGTGCAAAGCAGAAATACAACAACACTTCCAAGCAATGTCCAGTTAGGTTAGCAAAAAATAACGTGCTCAGATTTCTTCCTTTCATTCTTAGCCCTCTTTCTTCCAGTTTTCATAACAACATCAAAGCAGTACTGGATAGATTTTCTTTTCTTTTTTTTAAATCAACTCGGGAATGAAACAAGCTCCAGTCCTCCCACCTTCACGACGGCCACTCAGCATCCACGTTACCATGGAAACCAGACCGAGCCGACGAAGCCTAGTAAGCCCTGTCAATCAAAACGCTGATGTTACACCTTCTCTAATGCAGAGGGAGTGTGCTAAATTCTCTGGAAAACAGTAACAGGAAAGATTCGTTTGGCAATCCCTCCTCACTTCCTGCATCATCTCAGCTGGACTCGCTAAATGATGAAGTGTGTCGCTCAACACACACGGGCGATTTTAAGCCCTTTCAGATAGATTATAAGGCACTCGGAGCGTTGTTTTGACTGGACAAGCAGCTTTGGCTAAAATCCGGACTTATATCAGCAAAGGCTAGGCTTACTGAACAAACCTCCACCCTGAGAGCAGCTCTCTGACCTCGCACCGTCAGCACTGTCGTCTCATCATCTTACTCTCAGCCGATCCGGGTACTAGCGACACTCCATATAAACACAAGGAACACGTTTGTGAAATTAAACGTTAGGTCGCAGGCAGGCAATGCAGATGCAGTGATTTAACATTAGCATGCAGGCTAACTATTAACAGTGGGTGGGTAGCATCGTCTTAACAGTTTCCTTACGCTCTGATCTTGTTTCAATAACTAATATCACGCATTTCCTTAAATTCTTGAACATCACATCACATCACTTATGGAGGCTGATAGGAGTACATCCCACGCCGGTAAAAAAAATTATCCATTTATTGCCTCTAAAGCTGTCAGTGCAGTTAGCGAGCAGGCTAACCAGTGATGAGCTAACGCCAGCCCGCTCAGGGACATTCTTTCACATCACCCATACTGCACTCGGCTCTTACCTCATAGTTCACTTTCCATCGTTGAATGCTGAATAAATTAGGCAGATGGGTGCTTATGTGACCACACAATGTGGTCTCTTCTCCCAAAATTTGCTGTTTTATCACTAAAACCCTTTCCGGTGAATCTCCCTTGGCTCTGGAATCCTGACCGACTGAGGGACAGCTGGAAAATGGGGTAACGCCACTGAGATATCGCGAGATGTTCTCTCACGGTAAATTACATCGACGCAATCTCGCGAGAACGGTTTTCTTGTCCGGATCACAGGGATTCTCTGCGAAATAAACGGATTAGTAGCGCTCCTGTCTGCAGCTGTTAATTAGAAAATACATAAATTCATACATTTTAAGAATAAATTAATAATAATTTTAAAAACTCTTAGCAATAATGTAAAATATGTAATGAATCACATAGATAAATAAATACGACATGGCTAAGATTTCATCCTTGCAGGCAACACATACAGAAAACCAACACCAAAATAAAATAGCCTTATTAAGTAGAATAAAACCGAGCTACAAAACAAATACTACTATAGTAATATCACTCAAGTGGAAATGACTAAAAACATAATATTTTGACCCTTTGACAAAAAATAGCTCATTGTTGTAAAATAAAATAAAGCAAAACTAGAACAGAATTGGTTTAATGTAGCAGAAAAATAAAATTAACTAAATAAATGCAGAAATTCATTCATTAAACTGAGGTTTTGCTAGTAATTCACTGGCTTTTGTTAAGGCATAAGTTTTTCTTAAAACAGTTTTAATTAACGTACTGTTTCCCTTCTTCTTGTATTATTATTATTATTATTATTATTATTATTATTATTATTATTATTATTATATACGAAATCGAACACCAATGATTCATTTCATATTACATGTCCAGTAGTGGGCGGTATTGTAGTCATAGAAAGAAAAAACAACGAAGAAGAGGAGGTCAGCTGATTGACTTTATCCATACCGATCCCGGCGGTTTGATTTTTCCTATATTAGACTCAGCTGTTATTTGAAGAGCATTAGTCCAGTCGGTCACGTTATAATATTTTGATATTCTGTGTTTGTGGATTTGATGAAAATCTGCAGCGTTATGAAAGGTCTGTACTGCCGAGCTGTCAGTGATGCTGAACCCAAGTTCGTTATCCAGGAAATGGTGAGTTTGAGGTTCCAGCTGAGCAACTACAGCACGTCAGTATTAAAGGAACTTATTAGAAAAGCAAATTAGCTGTGCAGGCTTAATCTGCATATTTAACTCCCTGCTGCTGATTAGTCTCAGCCTACTGAACAATCCCTGCTTCTCTGAATATGTATAACAACTAACTGTCTGTAAAAGTGATTATTTAGCAGGTGTTTTTGCTCTTTCATAGTAAGCTGCATTAAAACGTTTAGAAGATCATGTCAGATATATGCATGATTTATTTCTTAGTTAGTGTAAACATATTTTACGTTTCTGCTGTTTTTTTGTGTTTATGACTTCTACCTTTGTCTTCATTGTTACACTGAGTGGCTTTGTGTGTTTCTCTCCAGACTCTCCCAGATGTCCTGAGCAGCCATCAGGTCAGAGTTCAGGTGAAGGCGTGTGGACTCAGCCCACTGGACCTTAAGGTACTAACAGTGTGAGACCTGTGGCTGAACATGTTTCCCGGTGGGTTAGTGTAGCTTAGTTATAGTGCATGTTAGTTCTGCCAAAACTGGAATTAATCCACACAGTCTATCCCAGCTCTCATAGGGTCAAGAGGGCTGGACAGGTCTAGTCTGTAATGGGGCTAACACAGAGCGACAGATAACCATTTAAACTCACAGTCAAACCAGTTAACCTACCCCACGCATGTGTTTGGAGAAAGTCCGGAGTACACGGAGAGAACCCACTCAGACACTGGGAGAGCATGGAAGCTCTGCCAAAACATCCCCAGATAGATTCAAACCCAGGATGTTCTTGCTGCAAGGCAGAGCCACTGCACCACAGTGCCGCCAAGTAAAAGAATAAAACTACAAAAAGTAAGAAACATAATTGTTTCATAAGTGAACCATCCAAAAATAAATATAATGACTCAGGGCTTTACCTTATTTCACTCAGGCTCCAGGCTTTCCCATATAGGTAGTAGCTCATCGTAACTCCCATTAATGAGCTACAGTAGCCTACAGCAGGGCTTAATCTATTATTAACTGTGATTTTGTAAATGTGGAAGAGATTTCTAATCGTATTAAGAGGATGGACCTGATCTCAAAATGCTTTAAAATATTAATTAAAAAAACTACCTACCTGATGGGTTAGAAAAGCTGTTTGTTTGTTTGAGGCACACTCACAATGTGTTTAAAAACATCAAAAGAAGACACATTTGTGGTTTAATTTTTCTTTCTTGCTGCTTTTGTTGCCTCTGAACTGAAATAATTTGATAAATGCATCACTGATAATAACTCACTACTTTGCTGATGTCTATTACAGCTGTTCAGAGATGTCGGGATGCAGAGGGATTTAATCCCTGTCGGCAGAGAGGTGGCCGGGGTCGTCCTTCAAGGTCGCAAACAGACACAAATTTTGACTCTGAAATTAGCTTTATTGTTCAGAACAAATTCACACGTGTGTGTTTTCGTGCCGAGTGAGTAAGAGACCTTGTGATGCATCATTCACGGGTCTTAATTTTTGTGTCTGTTTCCTTGTTTGTTTGTTTTTTCCTGACAGTTGGTCCCAAGGTTACCTTCTTTCAGCCGGAGGACGAGGTTGTAGGTAGGGATGATTTTTTTTAAATGGCGAATGTGAGGTTTTCTATAGGATTGCAACTTAGGAATTTCTATAAGTTTAAATCTTTTTAAGAATAAATACTTGTGTTTACAGACGTCTTTGATTGTTCATTGTTTCTGAACTGTGACTCAGTTCTCTAAGTTGGACATGTTTTAATATCAGATCTGACTGAAACCTTGAATGTTGTTAGATCATATTCAAGAAGATGTCATAACCAAAATAACTTTAACACACTTGGATTGGTTTTTAGGGTTAAACAAGTCCTAACTTGCACAAAAATAAAGACACTAACAGTCATTTAAAACCAAAAGAATTTGATAACCTTGATGACCCCGAGCTAACTCAGTGATGAGGGATGAGGGTTTTTCTTGTCTCCTTAATGCACAGTCGGATTAACACTTTTTTTCCTCACTAAATTTTCAAAGTAAAATTTCCTTTTAACTATTGAATTGTTAGAAAAGATATTTCTCTGCTAGGGTAAATAGACATGGAGTCACTTCTTCTTACAAGCAAGTCTTAATTCATTGTACTGTAGTACAAAGAATTTAGAGATCTCTCTGAAGTCTGTTTGATTTCTCTAAACTTTATCTTTGTGAAAGCGGCTCCACATTTCCCCTTCTCATCTTCCCTCTTCAGGTATCCTTCCCCTGGACTCCAGCTTCTCAGGACTCTGTGAGGTCATTGACACCGATGAATATTATTTAGGTGAGATGCACGCTCTCTCACATCTTTATTATGTGAATTTTATTTTCCCTACTTTCATCTATCACATTTTATGACATAGTAAACTTACTTCTAAATTCTTTTAGGTCTAAGTTATGTTTTTTATTCTGACTCTTGACTTTACTAAATATCACAGCACTGACTCACCGATCATTTCAGAAAAAGGGTCACTCTGATCTAAAAGGTGAACCCGTTCTCGGCTCTGCTTCAAAGTCGACGGGCAGAATGTTTTTGTGTGTGTCCACCTTACCTCTGCACCGCATGAACTTTCAACTTTTTTGAATCAGAACTTTCAGATTGAAAGAAATGTAAAAGCACCTGAAGTGCACACACTGCCCTGATCCACCCCCATAGTCTCTGACTACATTTATAATCTTTGGAAAAGAACGGAGTGACAATCACCTTCTAGGCAGATGGATTTTAGAGCAACGTAAAGTTAAGAACTTTAAGAATCTTAAAAGTTGAAATCTTGTAAATAAAATCCTATAAAAAGCTGTTCAGTGAGCATTTTTGTGTTTCTGTGATCTCCAGTTCAGAAGCCAGAGAAGCTCAGCTCGGTGTGTGTGGCAGCAGCGCTGCGTGACGGCCTTTGCGCTTACACTGCTCTGCACACACATGCTCGTATGGCGGCCGGACACACGCTCCTGGTCACGGACGGAGCCAGCGTACGTAAAAACACTCAAAATATAAACTGTGTGCGACCTTGTAAAGCAAAGCTCTAGTTTGATTGCACGCACGAGTAATGATCTCATCCCTCTTGCTGCGAAGTCTTTTGGCCTCATGTGTATCCAGCTGGCTTGTTACCACGGGGCGAAGGTGCTGACGACGTCACACTCGCCACAGAATCACACTTTCCTGGAGCAGCTTCGGCCCAGCGTAGGTGCGTACCGACCCACGCTGACATTTCTGTAGCTCGCATTGAAAAACTTGATGATGATCTTTGAAATGTTCTCCAAAATCACATTTTGAGATACCGAAACTGGCCTTTTCTTGTCATTCCTTTCATATTCACATACTCTGCTTCCAACCTGTTTTCATCTCTGCATCCTGTCCTCTCCTCACCTTCATATTCTCCTCAGGTGTTCAGGATCCCTTAGTAGGTGAGCTCTTTTCCTCTCTTCCCCACTGACTTGCCTTGCTTCCTAGCTTGATTAGTAACATAACTGTCATTGGTGTTTGAGCTGTAATTCTATTTATGGGAAGATAAGCCATTAGTAATATTTTTTTCTAGTTTTGCAGAAATAATTATTTCAGCTAAAATCTGCTGCCATCATGTGGTCGTTAGTGAAAACTGCAGTTTGCAAATTAAATGTGATCAGAGTAGAATTACACACAACTCAGTCGGTTTCTCAGTTTTAAATGTTTTCTGAGCTGCAGTGACTCATTCTCTCATATATGTGTGTTTATGTGTGAAGCCAGAGTTATTCCAGTGTATAACAGCTCATCAGAACTGCTGTCGGCGGTTATGGAGGAGACGGGAGGACTGGGAGTGGATATCGTTGTTGACTCTGGAGGTAAAAAAATAAAATTGCTTTTCCTCACATCTTCTCCTTCTAGTTTAGATACTTGAAGTTTCTACACTATCTGGATGTCCAATCATGCAAAACTTCAGTTTTGCAGATGTTTACAGCCACTCAACAAGGCACCTTTGATGAGTTGTGATGGAATGACTAAAATATCTGTAACATAAAGACTTCCTGCCACAGCTCGTATATTGAGACTGTGTCGTGCACCTGTTTTATACGTCGTGGACACACCTGTGCTCCTCTCATGACTCTCCTCCATCCTTCATTGATGCATCCTTCAAGGTGCTGCAGTCAGAGGTCTGGTCACAGACAGGATGAAGAGGCACAAATCAGACACATTAGAAAAGACCTTTGTGTATGTTTGTGTGTGTATGTGTATGTGTGTGTGTAGTTCGTCTGCATGAAGGGGAGGAGGAAGTGGAGTCAGAAGAGAAGAAATTACTTCCACACAAACATGACATCATCAGTGTGCTGGGAGTGGGCAGCCACTGGGTTACATCCCACCAAGACCTGCAGGTGAGCTGGGGTCAGACTCAACAGCGGCATCATAAATTGATAACTTCATAGTTTATTATTACTATTTGAACAGAAATAACCTCTCTGGCTTTAAAGCATCTGAATGCAGCTCAGTCTGGTCTGTCTTCAGTATCACTTTCCTCACCTCTCTGTGTCTCTGTGTATTTGCAGTTGGATCCTCCAGATTGCAGATTACTTTATTTAAAATCAGCCTCTGTGTCCTTCCTCAACCCTGAAGTCTGGACAGCATCATAATCGCAGCAAGGAAGATACCTCCGTATCCTGTTCTTGCAGCATATAATCTAAAACCATAATTCTGTAATGTGCATTTCTGAAGCCTTAACTGACCTTTGCAGATATTCTGAAGGATATCGTGGAGAAGATGTCAAGCGGAGTACTCAGGTAACCTCAAAATCTAGTTTAAGGAGTGCTGGATGACATTTCTCAGTGGGATCATACTATCTTAGATAAAGTACACAAATCCACATTTTAACACGAGGTCAACTTTCCAGGATGCTCACATATGATTCCCACAAACATGCAGAAGTCCCAAGTCCAGCAGCTTAGACAATTTGTACATATGTTTGGAACATTACCAGAGGTGTGATGAAGTTTCACAGGGGACATATGTCCTCATTAGCCACTGATATTGAATTAGCTTTAATGGTGTATTTGTTTGGAATGAAGCCTATTTAAATGCACAAAAACAGTTTGTTTCACCTCTGTCTTCTTGTATGCTTTTTTTTTTTTCTCCAGGCATTTAATTTGTTTATTGCTAAATCTTTACAAGCAGACATTAAATAAATTATAACATATAGAACATATAGAAGGTAGGCCTTTCCCTTTCACATGTCCAAGGCAGACTTCTTCTATTTTTGACAGCTCTGGAATTCGCCTAATCTGTCTGCATCTGGATGAAATATCTCATTATTTTTAACATTAGACTTCTGCTGTAACAGCACTTGCAGAAGTTTAGTTTCCAGTTTAGTGCGGGGGTGTCAAACCTGCTTTGGGTGAAGAAGACTGGAATGATTGCTAATAGCCTACCATTCTTTTAAGGTTAAGAAGTAAATGTTTAATTTAATAAGCCTTTAGTTTAAAAGACAAATGACATGTTGGTACAGACCGTAGTTATTTCATGGATTTGGGGATTCAGATTGTTCTAAAATTAGACTCTAATGGGTCTCTGATCAAATTCACCTTGTGTCTCTCTGCAGGCCTCAGCCCGAGGAAGCAGTCCCCCTCTATGAAGCCACAGTTGCCATGGAGACTGTCCAGCGTCACCCAAAGACGAAGGCTGTTGTTCAGCTCTGACCTAACTAATCACATTATGCAGAGATAAAAGAAAACAGCTCAGCTGGATCACTTCTCTCTGCAGTGACACTCTGTTCCAATCAGTCACTGTTTACTTGTTAACACAGAACTATGATCTGTTTCAGGCCCAATAATATGATAACAACAGGAAAAAAGGCGCTCAATCATTAACTGCTTGAGTTTCAGAGTCACCTGGACAGTTTTACTTCACACTGCAGAAGAAACTCTTTTCCCAGAGCCAGTGATATCCATTAAAATCTGATCACTCTTCATCACCTAATGTTTGTTTAGAAATGCACAAGGTGTCATCTGACTCAATAAAATCATATTTCATTAAAAAACAAGGCCGCTTTTTTGTTTATTATGCAACAGATCTTTTGTTTGTTCGTTTCAGATCCATCTGTTTGTGAAGGGCAGCCAATCAGAAGAAAGTTGGCTTAAAGGGGTTTTAATAGACTTAAAACATCAAATTGAGGACCAAGTCCTAGTATGACAGAAACGGGGATTATATTGAATCATTCAAAGCTGCTCTAGTAGATTCCAACACTAAAAAGATGGAGTTAAAAATTGAAATATGTCCCTTTGAGCTGTAAATTACAACATAAACAGCAGCTGGGATATTTGGTGGCTTCATAAAATGTGTAATACAAAATCTAACTACTAATTAAAGCAAAAATAAATATATAAAATAGCGGATTTAAAACTGGAGATGCATCCTTTCTGTAGTAGTATTTTGCTTAGAGCAGTTAAGCTGGTGGTGATGAGAGCCTGTAACAGAGCATCCTATTGCTTTTCTCAGTCAACACATAGCACAGGAAACGCTTCAGCCAATCACTTGACTTCTTGCAGCAGCTGTCAGATCAGAGGGCCAATCAGATGTCAGTTCACAGCACCGAGTGGACTGTCATTATGTCTGAGTGATTCCTCCAGTGCCTTGAGGCAGCTTCCCAGGATGCACCTCTCTTCCTGCCGCAGTGACTTGACCACATTTAGCTGCTCCCTAATTGGCTGCTCACATTGTTGGAGGAGGTGTGAGACCTACACACACACAGTGCAGGAGAAAAAAGGAATCAGGTGATGTGCTGCAAAACAGGGACAGAGTTAAATTCATGCACATGTGCACACACCTTATCTAGTGCGCTGCATGTGTCTTGCAGTAGTCGCTGACAGAGACGCTTAGCCATCCGGACGCTCCACTGCTCTCTCTCCTCACACACCAGCTGGCCGAGCAACACTGCCTTCCACTGGTGGCTGTAAATTACACACATGTTCAGGCACACTCCACAGACAGAGAAACTGATCCAGATTGTGAATGGACGCCCAGATTTTGGAGCAAAACACATCGATGTACATGTATAAATGTGTGTTTAGGCTTACTACAGTGTTTGTGGCAACGACAACAGCCTGAGAGCCGTCATCAGCCTCCAACTGGGGCCATCACTGGACACAGTGAGATTACTGGCAGGAAGGCAGGAAACATATGAAGGCATTTTTCCATTTTGCAGTTGTATCCGAGTTAAGTATTAGTCCTGTTTACAGCTGAATCATTAAGTATGTAAACCGAGTCTTACTGAAGGAAACTGTTCTCTCTGAGAAACTTGATCTTCTGAGTCAAACTTCTGTCGCCTCTTAAAACATCACAGAGCAGATCTGAGGGACCACAGTGAAAAACACAAACATCAAGTTTTAAGACAAACAGTTTTCCATATTTTCTCTTATATATCTAATGTTACACTGGCAGATGCAAATAATAAACATGTTTCCAAAGTTTTAAATAATGAGGTCGGTGTATGTGCAAGTAATCCCTGTAAGCAAAGGCTTAGGCTTCATAATACTGCTTTAAACACTCGTTTTAAATTTATTTTTTCCCCTGTTTGCTTTGTAGCAGTGAGAGGGGATGATGGCTGTTTGTGAGAGGTAGCCAATCAGAATGAAGGAAGGGAAACAGCTTGTTTCAGATTACCAACATGTAAAGTAATGACCTATTTTAAGTCCAGGGAGTCATATGTTCATAAAAGTTCATTAGCACTGTCATAAATATATCATGATCAATATATGTAAATATAAATTTGATTCGACGATAGGGCAAAAACTTCCCCATGATAAGACCTACTGCAGAGGTTTACCTGTGTCCACATAGACCACACTGTGGGGATTGGCAGTGGTGACAAATCCGTACTCCAACAACAGCTGCTGGTTATCGTGGGAACCGTAGTTAATGAAGGCCTGCTGGTAGCGCAGAGTCCCAGACACACTCCTGATTTCATAACATCTTGTCACATCGTTAAAACCTGCTTTTACCTGACAAAAGAAATGCAGTCATACACTCTCAATCAGTACAACCAGCTCCGACTCAACAGCTACAGTATTCTTGCAGCATCACATTTACCTGCACGTCAGGGCGATGGTTGAGCAGATCCAGGAAGGGAGCTAAAGCATAATTATCAGGTCCTGACAGGAAGCTGCTTGAAGCATGGCTCATGAAGACGGTGCGTGTGTTGACACTAAACCACGCCCACCTGGGAAAGGAGGAGAAGCTTAGTTAGAGATAGTATTCTCATTCACTAATACTGTTATGTAAACGGTTCATTTGGTCAAAGATAAGGAACATGTACCTCAGCGCCTCATAGGTCAAAACATCCGCTGTGGGCTGACTCAGAACCGGCTGCAGGGACCTGAATCAGTGAACCAATCACAGCGCGATCATTCACTTTTCACACAAGAAGACTAAACATCATTTGAACAATTACTTTTATTCTGATGCATTCAGCCAATTTTTAGAAAACGAGCTGATCTACAAGCGAGTACAAATCCCGGCCTTAACCGCACTCACCTGAAAAACTCCTGATTGGTGGAGTGCATTTCCTTCACTGCCTCCCTCTGCTCCAAGGCCCGCCTCCGCACACTGGCAGGTAAAAGAGCCATGACATCATCGCTGAAATAGGCGGGGCAGGTGTAAACTGTGGGCAGCACATTGATGTAAGGGAACCAATCAGAGGCCTCTCCTCTGTGCCGCTCACACACCAAGAAGATGCAGAGGGCCAGGAGGGGAGACAGACGAGGTTTCCAGCTGCAGAGAAAAAAAAAACACACCCAGAAACAGTTTGGTTTCATCTCATTCTGCCTAAAATACTCAGAGTCCATCAGCTGAATCCTTCTGTGTGCTGAGATAGTGTGAAGTACAGGCGCACAATTAACCTGGCACCGAGTCTGAACTTGTGTAAGCTTATGACGATCTAACACATACATAGTAGGGGTGCAACCATACTCGTATCGATATTGAACTGTTCGATACAGTGCTTTCGGTTCGGTACGCATATGTATCGAACAATACAAAATTTTTAATTTATTTTATCAACTTTTCTTCTGACGATGCTGTCTGTGTTGAGCGCTCAGTGGATCTGCGTTCGACTACTCCGCCTAGGCTGCACTGTCGAGCGCAGATCCACTGAGCGCAGCACAAGCTAGCGAGACAGAAGTCAAGCTCTCCTTGCAACATGGCAAATTGAACCTCCCTCACCCTCATTCAGATCTGGCATTTGGAACTATTTCAAATCAAATCAAATCAAATCACTTTTATTGTCACATCACATGTGCAGGTACATTGGTACAGCACATGTGAGTGAAATTCTTGTGTGCGAGCTTCACAAGCAACAGAGTTGTGCAGAGTATTTTGGTCTTCATGTGAAGTATGACCCTGAAGGTAAGCGCGTCATGGACAAAAGTAAAACAGTATGCCGGATGTGCCACGCAATGCTCACTTACATGGGTGGGAACTAGTGTGTTAGCGCAGTTAGCTCGTTAACATGTTGGCCGTCCAGCCCCACGCACAGGGCGATCCGCGGTACCTCGTTAACGGAGATTTGCCGTGTTGTGGCGTTAACGGCATTTCAGATTAACGCTGACAGCACTAGTGGGAACAAAATGAATATGACTGCACATTTACTCCGACATCATCCTAGTGCAAAGACAAGTGGAAGCAGACAAAAACAACAAGCGTGTTACCCGAGTCATTTAGACAGCCGTTAGCACATGATTCTCCTTATGGGGACCTGATATGTTTAATATGCTGCTGAGAATATAGCCCAGAAGATGCGTATAGTATAGCTTTTATTTTGGAAAGAGACATTTCTCTGTAATAAACTCTCTTTTCCAAAGATGAGTGATTTCTCTTATCCCTTTGTTGTTTCAGCAACATGTAATTTAAAAACTGTACATTTGAGTTAAAATATATATTTATAATTTTAATAAATGACAAATTAAAAAAGCATGAACATTTTTTTGTATCGAAAAAATATCGAATCGTGACACCAAAGTATCGAACCGAACTGTTAATTTTGTGTATGTTGCACCCCTAATACATAGATTAAATCCTGCATGCCGTATAGAGGATGGAAATATTGGAATATGTTTACATTCTGTGTTTACCTCTTGATGTACCGTCCCAGGTAGCTGTGCAGAACGGTGGAGGTTGTGAGGAGGCACGACTCCGGCAGAGAAATAATCAGCTGACCGGGCTGCCACACAAACACCAACAGATAAAGCTTTAACATTCAAACGTCACTACAGGATCTACACTTGATCCTGTAACTAATTCCAAACAGTAACCAATTCAAATGTTTAAAAAAATGGTGACTACACAAATTACTTCACTAATCATATTTGTATTTTTTTATGAAGCAGCAGTTTAACTTAATTCTTTCTTATAAATTAAAAGGCAAAACACACATAAATAAATCATTAACTGCCTAACAGATCGAGCACAAAACCTATAAGAAAGCTATATAAACAATATACAGTTATTTCTTTATGAATAATATAAAACTTAATATTAAAATAACATTTTGTGCATATGTCAGCGTGTGCTTTGTGATGGTTTTAAATGTATGCTCGTGTTTCAGTTAGAATTCAGAATTACTGCAAATATCAGGCACATGGTCACAAAGAAGGTGAACAAGTGGATGTTGAGTTTAACAAAATATGATCAAAGTAAAAAAAAAGTAATTTTAATAAACCATTAACTCATTTATTTCTAACATTATAACACTTTCATAACAACTTCAGCCTGTCAGCGACTTGCTATGTTTATTCCTTGAAGTTTCCACATTGTGATTTTCAGAATAAAATAACATTTTTGATTTCTTTTTTCTTCCTGAAGATGCAAAAAGTTCATAATATATGTTGATAAAAATGTGGCATTTAGGGAATCTGGATTACCTTAATGGTTCTGAGAGTCTGCAGTCCTCTGCCTGTGTCTGTATGAACCAAATGTACATGTGAATATCATGATTTAACACACAAACTGTCAGTGTAGGTAATGTCTCTGATTGGCCCAAGAAGATACCAACAGAAAACCTCCTCACAGTCATGCTCTATAAAACCAACCAGGTCTGAAAAAGGTTCCCAACTCAATCCTTCAGAATCAGCTGAGGGTCAAGAGGTCACATCAGCATGTGGGACAGGTGTCTAGGGTCTATTTGTTTGATACCAGGCTCAGCCTAGATGTCTTCTGTGTCAAAACAATGATCTAATATAGTAACATTTAAATACTCATAAATGTAGCTCAGGGCTGTGAAATGCAGAGACAACACTGTATAGTAGTTTGGAAATATCCCACTGATCAAATGGTTTTAAAGAAATGTTTCAAAACTAAAAAGGCTCAGGCTTGGCCCACGGGGGGGGTCTCACACTCATGACAACCATGCTGAAGATTCTGGCTTTAGGTGTCATACTTGGGTAGAGTATAAAACTGATTAGGGTGCTCCCGTACTTGGGAAATTGTGAAAATTTAAAAACTCTGGAATACAATAATGTGAAGTAGTTTGGAGGTCAGTTCATACAGAGTGTGTACTTCATGTCTATGTATTGTGAGAGGCTGTAACTCAGAAGACATTCATAGCATGATGGTAAAATCTGGCATGGCTTCAGTAAATATATTTAGTGTACAAAAAATCCTGATGAAGTCAGGTGGGAAGTTCTGAATGAACCTAAAATCACCCAACAAACAATGGGCAGCTTTCCTTTTCGGGTTATATGATACTCCTGAGGATGTGGATAACAATATAGGATGTGGTACCAGTGAAGAGAGCTGGCTGAAGCAGTGTGGAGGAAAATCCTCTGTGGTGAAGAAACTTCCAGAGCTTCACATGCTGCGGCTGGTGACACAGAGACACTGGAGAGAGAGAGGGGCAGAGAGTCTGAGCTGAGCCAGCATGCAGCACTGAAACACTTTAAACTCAAGCAGTCAGCGTGTTTCTACCTGACCGGGCGCTGCTTTCGCGTTTCTGCCTCCTCTTCCGGGCAGTTCGTCCAGCTCTGTGACTGTGACCTCTCATGGTCTCTTTTTGTAGGTAAATACACGCTCATCTGGACAGCTCTCTCTATCGAAACACACAACATACGTAAGACTTCGTGAGTCTGAAGAGCACAAATAAACTGTAATCACTGTAACAGTTTTAACAATCACAAGGAACTACAAATGGACGATCAATTAAGAGGTTTTTTGTAGGGTGCTGGAGGACTACATGCCACATAAAAACCCTTCAGTGAGCCACAGCACTGATCTCTAATCTGTTCTGCTGTCGTTTATTTTTATCAGATGATCCTACAAACCTTCCTAAAAGTTGATCCAAAATATAGAGAAATGCCGAAATATTGTCCATATTAACGTGAAACTCCTTGCAGTACAGCTCATCCATAACCCAACCCACGTGTTCCACTTGTTTTTCCGGGGATGCGCACCGATCCTGCGCAGAACGCCGCCCTGCTTTTCTTCTTTTTCTGGTTTTTTTACAGTCGTGCATTTTGACGTGCAGCGCTTTTTGTCCTCTCTGCAGCCTCATTCAGGACCAAACCCCAGCTTCAGTAAGTGTGAGGCCTCCGCTACATCTTACAGTTTTCGTTTGTCAGCAGCTTGTTTGAATTTTAGCGGATTTAAGGAGGCGTCGGGCCGACCTGCAAACTGAAAGTCTGCGTTATGTAAGAGAGAAAGACGCTGGTGAAAGGTCTTCGGATTCTCTTCGATCAAAGGCTTTTAAACGGGAAGTTTGGACAAATTATTAATTTCATGCTGTAATTTACAGTCACGTTCTGTTTGTACATGCCTCGTAAAACCAGCGTGTTTGTATCGTTTGTATCTGGACTGACTGATCGCACTGTCTACACATTTAATCTTATTTAATCCACATTCTGCAGTGCATTTCAAAGCTGCAGTATGTGCATTCAATTCATTTCCCCCCTGAAATTATTGGAGCAATATATGTGGATTTGTTTTCCCACTATTTTTCTCTCTGGAACTGTCTTTTTTTTGTTTTTTAAACTTTATTTAACAAACAATGAGTATACAACATACGAACAGATGAAGTATACAAAACAACAACGTGAACACACAAAGCCAGGGGTAAAAAGAAAAGTAACAATTATAAGAATACACGCAAAAATTCACATATATATATTGTTTTGAGAGCCTTTTTGTTGGTGGAGTCTGATATTGATTGTATGTACAGTTCCACATACTTAAAAAAATGACAGAAATATGGTGTTTTGTTAGTAAACTTACATTTATGGATAAAAAATTTAGCTAAAAGTATTAACAAATTTATCATAAAAAACATTTCTCATTCTTCTTGGGGAACTTAAAGAAACAGAATAAAACATTTTCCCATCGTAAAGAAAACTCCCTTAAAATATGGACAATAACAAAGCTGCTAAATTCCTTCCAGAATCTCTGTGTAAAAGAACAGCACCAAAAAAGATGTGTCACAGTTTCTGGATGATCCCCACAGAAAGTACAATTAGTATTTATGTCTCTTTTAAATTTTACCATGTAGTGACTGGCTGGATAACATTTATGTAGAATTTTAAAAGAGACTTTTTTCACCTTATTTACAATCAAATATTTATGGGGGACCATCCAGACTGTCTTCCACTTGATATCTGGAACAAATCGGTTCCAATAAGATGTTATATATGGGAGAGAGACGATATCTTCTTGGAATAAACTACGTATTCTCTTATTGCTGTTACCAAGTTCCTGTGAAAAGCAGATTTTTCCTATTGGTGACTCAGCTGGATCAGGGAGAGTGACTGAGGTAGAGATCGAGCTGTCAGTGTTTTTATATAACATTAAAGTCCCTGAGGGTGTGGCACCAAGCACCAATGAGAATTCCTGAACACTGATTGGAAAATGATATAGTGCAATAAAGTCGTTGTAAATAAGTAGTTGTCCCTCTTTATTAACCAGCTGAGCCACCAATAGGATCCCATTTTGGACCCAAGTTTCCAGGAAAAGTGATTTATTTTTAAATAAAATATCTCTGTTGTTCCAGATGAGGTATTTGTGAGGTGAGAAGTTGTGTTTATAAATGAGGGTCCACGCTAAGAGGACCTGCTTATGGAAGGATGAAAGCTTTACAGGGAGTTTCTCAACATTGTAATTACAATTTAAAATAAAAATTAAAGCCACCAAAACGAGAGAAAATACGATATGGTATAAAGTTCCAGATAGAGGTAGGGTTTTTAAGAAAATGTTTAGCCCAATTAATTTTGAAAGTGTTATTTAAAGTAGAAAAGTCTAAGACGTTAAGCCCACCTGATTCGTACTTATTCATCACAACAGTTTTTCTAATATAGTGCGTACGGTTTTCCATATAAAATTAAAGAGCATGCGGTCAATATCTTTACTAATTTTCTTATCCAGATGTAAGGAGAGAGCAGCATATGTTAATCGGGATATCCCTTCAGCTTTAGTAATTAACACTCTACCTTTCAAAGACAAGTCCCTTTGCAGCCACTGGTTGAACTTTTTTAGGGTTTTCTGTATAATTGGAGTGAAGTTTGAAGAGCATCTTGATTTTTGGTCTTTGGATATTAACAGTCCCAAGTATGTGACTTCTTGTTTAACAGAAATATTACAGATCGTATTTGCAGGGCAGTCTTTAATTGCTAGTAACTCACACTTTTTAAAAAAATAAATTTTACCATGATCTAAAGTTTTATTTTTCTTAGATAACTCATGCTCCCAGTCCAGAGCAGGGCCCACCTATGAGTTTAACCACCACTTGTGTGGAGTTCAGACACTGATGCCTCTCTTTCTTTTTGTACAGACATGCCAACCCGAGTTGCCGTGGTAACTGGAAGTAACAAGGGCATCGGTCTGGCCACTGTCCGAGCGCTCTGCAAGCAGTTTGAAGGAGACGTTTACCTCACTGCCAGAAATGTGTAAGTGACTCACCTGGTGACACCTGGACCAAGTTGAAGACGTATCTGCAGTTTATTCATCTCAACACTTTTGCATACCAAGAGCTTAAACAAATCTAAAGCTCGGTCAGAGCTAGCAGGAACTGCATCTGTGGTTTGTTTGTTCATCCAAGCTTCTTGCTTCAGGCTCTGAGCACGCACACGGAGTGAAAAAGGGCATTTGATGCATCATTTGACTGTCCTTCTGCACACAGTTGACCAACTGATGTGCTGGGAGTTTTGACGTTCTAGTGATCTAGTGACCCTCGAGCTCTCGGCTAGCTATCGAGCTGGTGGGTAACAGACGTCTCCGAAAACGTCGAAGCACTTTTGCAAATATGCAATATCTTGATAAACCGAGCAGATATTTGAAATTTACACACCCACATTGTCGACTGAAAATGTTAAAAGTTTATTTTGTGACCCAGACAGATTAATAAGAGTAATTTTAAAACATAGTAGCGGCCGCCATTGCCATTTGGCTGGGCCACGCTAGGAATTCTGGGATAAGGTGGGCCACGAAGGACACACCCGACCCATCCTCCAAATTCGGAGAAATGCTGATGCATTTGTCGGCTGCATTCGGAGGAGTCTACGAATTTGGACAGCCTTCGGCGCGTCGCTGTGACGTAATTGGTCTACAAGTTTTTGGACACGACCAGAGCAATACGGGAAGAGTACGGCGTTATTTTTGTGCCACTATTCTGAGCGCACGTAAAAAAATGAGCGCACGTAAAAAAAAATGAGAGCACGTAAAAAAAGGTTTGCACCTTAGTTTGCGTCTTAGTTTGCACTTACACCTGCAAATTTTTTTTACGTGCGCTCAGAATAGTGGCACAAAAATAACGCCAGAGGGAGAAGGCTGCAACCCATAATGCAGGGCTCTAGAGTGCGACCAAAATTTTTCAGTGGTGCGACTAAAAAAAATCCTAGGTTGCACTGGTGCGACCAGCAGCTGTTCGAATAAAAAAAAGAACAGAAAAAAAGAAAAAAAAAAAGTCTCGCAACTCTGAAAGTCTCGTGTGGTCAACAACATACACACATTATGCTCCCTAGTCTTATGGATCTAACAATCAAGTGATAGCCGAGGAGAGGGACCTTCTCTGATTGGCCGTTCTAGTGGTCCGCCAGATATTTCTGTAAGTCCTTCGTGTTGTACATTTGAGATAGTGCTAGGTGGATTGGGAGATTGGTGGAGTAGTTTGAATAAAGGGCTCACAGAATTTTCTGATAAGCCGTCGACGGTCACTGGACATTGTGTATTAGAATTTTTTTGCGCCTCGTATTAACTGAGCTGCAAGGTTTTCTCTCTCCAACCATAAAAATTTCACTTGAGCCAGCCAGCAGAAAGAGATTGCTCGATACTACGCTTCAAATTCTATAAATATCTGTTATTAATGCTTCTCACTCTTCTTTTTGCTAGTTTTTTCTTTTGTTCTTCATTATTCGCTAATCGACACTTCATGCTGCAGCCTCTCTCTCTCTCTAAATCACACTTCTCCAGCTCTCTCTCTCTCTCTGTACTTCAAGAACAGTTTCCCTCTCAAATCTCTGTTTTCTGCATTATTCATTCAGCTTATTACCCACCAGTCTACCGTTGTTTACAGCGCTGTCGCGCTGTCTTTTTTCTTTTTTACTTAAATGACCTCGGACAAGAAAGCCTAATTTCTGCTGTTCAATACTGAAGAAATTTAATACTTTTTAAAATTATGACAAAATTGCAGAATATTTTTAAGGTTATCTGCTAAAAAAGCCAGACCAGGAAAATCTTGTGTTTTATCCTCAGTTACATTGACACAAAGGCATCTGCTATGATGCTTACACCTCTGGTGAAGTCTCACAAGTGTCAATACTAATAAATTATCAAAATAATAATATTTCTGACTGTCTGAGGCAAAATCAAATCGAATCGGGACCTTGTGAATTGGAATTGAATGGATTATAGAAATCAGTGATGAAACCCTGCCCTATTGAGTAGTCTAGACCTGACTGAAGTGGATGTGGCTGTGGGTAATAAGAAAAAATGAAAAGAACTGTTGATAACTTTTTTGTTAAGGTAAGGCCTGATCTGTCTGAAATCCATAGCCAGTGCTCTGACACGGTGCCATCAATCTTTGAATGCTGAAAAAGCACAGTGTATCCAGAAAACACATTATATGCTGCGATAAATGCACTGCCCAACTGTCCCCTCGCTCCATTGCCTTTCAGCGGCAGGTAGCAGCAAACAGGTCGTCAGAGGAGGCCGAGATGATGATTACGTTTAACATCGTCTACAACATTACCAAAGAGTGCCAAAGCACTTTAAGCACAAGCACTTTTTCAGTAATTTTTCTTTCTTGTAGAACTGTGCTCCAAATGAAGAACTTTGTGTTGACAAGATTGTTAGTTAATCATTTACAAATTAATATTGTCTGTATAGACAGCAATTCCCCCCCCCAAAAAAAGTGCACATGTAAAACTGCGCGGTTAAGCGATGCGGTTGAAAAATTTGGGTGCGCCTAACTTTTGTGCTGATGTGCCTAAGATAAAAACGTTAGGCGCACCAGTGCAACTGCGGCAGAAGGTTAATCGAAAGCCCTGCCATAATGGCAATGATCAGTGGCTAGTGGATCTGAGGGCAGTCCACAGTAACCTCCCTGAACAGGGACCAGTAACCATCACCGTGGCAGACATCCAAGAAAGGGTCTCCAGAGTTGGACTTGGTTCATGCCTACTGGCTGAAGAAGCTAACTTAACTCCATGAGCGCCTGGCAGCACAAATGAACCAGCTGCTAGTTGATGAGAGACACCCGGAATGGCTAACCGAAGGCTGGACAGTCCTGATGCTCAAGGACCCACAGAAGGGGCCGGTCCCATCCAACTACCAACCAATAACCTGCCTCAGTACCACGTGGAAGCTCCTGTCAGGCATCATAGCAGCTAAGATGAACAGGCACATGGGTCAATACATGAGTGGGGCACAGAATGGGGCACAGAAAGGGATTGGCAAGAATACCAGAGGCACAAAACACCAGCTTCTGGTGGACTGAGCAGTCGCCCAAGACTGCAAGACTAGGCTGACCAACCTGTGCACTGCCTGGCTTGATTACAAGAAGGCCTATGACTCAATGCCCCACAGCTGGATACTGGAATGCCTAGAA